CACAATGGTGTCAACTTGTTACTCAATGGTCACAATTAGAAGATTAGGTTAGTGCTACAACTAAGTTTACTTGTTAGTATTTTAAGATCAAACATGTTTGAGTTAATTTCATCAATTGTCACAAGAAAGAGTTGTGAAAAATATCGCTAATGCAAAGATGCAGATTTGTTCTCATGTAATGGGACGTGTGAGTTCAGTTCGCATGAAAAAAGAGAATGCATGAGTTTAAAATTGTATGATATTTTTATTCTTATTTTATAACTAATTATTGTATCATGAAATTTGTTATAATAGTCTAACAAAGATAGATTACAATTATGGAGGATTAACATAATGCATAAATATGATACATGGTCATCTGAAGGTGCTAAGTAGAGATAAGTAATTTAACTTTAATTGTTTGTAATATTTATATTCAAAGTTCATTGCTTTATCCCTACACTTGACTAAATTTACTAAAATATAAATAAACATTTGCGACCTTCTTTCAGAGGAAGGGCTTACACTTGAGGATGACAATCTGGAGGCGAATGAGAGGGTGTTCATTATGGTTATGGGCCTAAACACCCTGATAAAGTTCGAACGCAAGAATTTAGTGTCATGCCAACCATATACTTTCCTCAAAGCACCATCAAGGCAGTAATTGGTAGTGAAAGCAAAAGTAATTCAGGTCAAATAACAAGTCTTAGAGAGGAGGTGCACTCATTACGAGCTGATATTAGAAATTTTCAGTCATTGCGTTCTAAGATGAGAGAGTTCATGCAACAAATTTCAGATGCACCATGCACCTGTAGGAAGCATACAAATAGTACATAAATTTTCAAATTCAAATTTCAATGTTAGTTATTCAATAATTAGCTATTCATAATTTTCTTACTATTGACAGAGAGGCAATAAAAATTCATCGAACACTATGGGAGAAATATTCATATCATTGTAACTTTAAATTTCAATTGTAATATTTTTGTACTGTTTTCAAGTAACTAACATCAGACTGTGTATGATGTTTAAAATTATCTGAAATTTTAACTTTTATATTTATTACATTCAATTGTCTCTTCATTTGGCAGATACAATCATTTTATTTTATGTTTTTGGCTCAAGTGATATAAAAACTATATATAAATAGAAAACAAATTGAACTAATAAAGGTCTAAATCATAAGAGCCAGGAAGTATGGGTCATGAATACATGATTTTAATTGAGAAAGTTATATGCTTTAACTATAGGTTTGAAATAGAGGAGCTTGTTGTGATCATTGGCACTGATTCATTTAGTCTCGATTGTGTTGTTAAGATGTTTGTTAGCAGAGAATGCATAACTTTGAGTCATTGGCCATTGGTTGTTGCACTGATATGTTGGTGAGTATTGGTTTTCCATAAGATGGGTGTTTTAGATAAGATTGATTGATTATATTCAATTGTACATGATATATCTATTTAAAAACATTTCATATCCATATAACTTAAAGAGTGTATTGGTGTTTTGCATTTTTTTTATGAGATTTGCAGTACTTAAAATAATACTCGTTATTGATATGATCATATTTATTAATAGTGACAATGTTATTGTAAAATATTTGTAAAATGATAATTGATGAGAATATTAAAAAAAAAACGGTAAAGTTTGTAGCCATTATAAACACCACAATTTTGGATCATTTGCAACAGTTTTAACAGCCACTATTATGGAATACTAGTAACTATTTTAACCGCTGCAATACGCCAAGAATAGTGGCGGTTAAAACCGCTACAAATGCCCCAAACTTATGAAGGTTATGACGACCATTAAAAATAATAAATTTTAATTATTTCTCTCCGGTTGTAAAATCACGAAGTAGTGTTGCAGCAAAAACCAACTACAACGGACATGTAGCGGTTTTGAGACCACTACAAACTATTTTGTGGCGGGTAAAACAACCACAAAATTCTATTTTAAGTGTTGTGAAAAGCATATTTTTTAGTTGTGTAATAATGTTACACAATAGTTAAGAGTATGAAAATTATTAAAAAGTATTTGATTCTTAAAGAGGGGAGCTATATATGCTCTTAATGGTGCAAGATCATGAGATGTGAGTTGAAAGATTACCCGTACAAAGGGAACATCCCGTGATATTAATGAAACATAAGCAAGTTTTACTTGAGAACTCTTTTACTTTTATATCATCCAACGACGGAAACTCAATTCAAGGTTCATTGTTGCCTAATCTCATATTACTTGACCTCATAAATTTGATGAAAGCAGTTCTTATTTAGGCTTTCTTTTGATCAGTTGTTTCACTTGCAGGAGAATTTCTACAAATAATTGTCAAGTAAATACAAAATTTTCAATATCAGGGTTTGAAAGGAAATGTGGGGTAAAACTATATTTATGTTGAACATATTATAGACAAATGTTTTGAACAACTTCTATCCATTTTCATTTAGTCTACTATTTTTACTCCTTATTCTTTGACTCTAATGTTATCTACACATGTTATGGATGCATATTCCATCCTTCATTGTATAAGTCCAAACCATCCTCTATTCCACGTCTTGTCTTCAAGAGGTTCTCCTCTCATTGCCCTTCAATATAATAATTTTTCAATATATTCTTACTAGTTTTTCCACAACCATCTTATATTCTCAATCCTGTCAAGTTCAATTTGGCCAATAGTGAGTTTTTTATTATCCAACACTTTAATCCATAAGCCAAATGTGTCAAACTATAGTTTTAAGAAATTTATCTCAAAATCTTCGCGTATTCTTTCCTTGCATATCACACTTGAGAAACATTCTATTTTAACCACAAAATATTAAATATAAAAGTTATATCTACATATAGGGGAAAAAATATCCACATTTAGGGGTTGTTTGGTAGCATGATTTAGGTCGGATTTGAGGCAGATTTGAGCGAAATCCAGCCAAACAGCCTAAAATGCAAAACCAAATCTCACAGCAAATGAAAGCCGCCGTGGCGGAAAATTCCGCCTTTTCATGCTAAATCTCGAATTTCCGAAATCATGCTTTTTGCCGGATTTACGAAATCCATTAGCTCAAGAGGAAGAGTACTCCGCTCTGTAGCCAAACAATCACATGAGATTTAATAGGATTTATGATGAATGTTACCAAACAGTTTTCAGGATTTAGGCCCCTCAAGATTTTCAAAATCCAGATTTAGATGATTTATGAAATCCTACTTAATACAAATCCTTGGTGCTACCAAACAACCCCTTATACTCTCATTCTTTTATGTAATGATATATAAAAAATGCTTAAAACTATTACACCAAGATATCATTAATCTTTTAATAATATTAATAAATAATCATTAATATCATACCCACTAAAACTTATATCATACACGCCACCATTGCAATATTGATCTTAAGTTCTTTTTCTTCCACACATTTTCTAGTGTTCTAACTTGCCAGATACTCTAATAGATGTGTCAAGTGTGAAATGATTGATGTTTTACCCACTTTTTGTTGTACAATAGTGCCAAAAATGAGGAGAAATTTTTCTGTGGAGTCCAGACAGGAAGAACCATTCAGACATGTGAGTGTACACACTGTGTACAAATTTGTACATAGTGTATATCAACTTTTTCTACATACTGTTTATACACAGTGTATACACTCACAGTCTAGATGGATCTTCCTGTTCGAATTCCGCACAGAATAACCTCTAAAACGAGAGGAGAACACCTTCAAATAAAATTTAGAATACAACAGTTATTCTTCCCAATATAATGTATGGGTGAAATTAAAACGTTCTGAGTTAATATACATAGGAAATTTCGCCAGATAAATGTATGACAAACTTTCATCATCAGAAAGAACTAGTCAGTTCATGTGAATCGTTGATAGGATTAATAATAGGCACTACAAACCATTCATAAAATTTTCATGAAAAACTTTGGAAGGGTATCCTAACACACCTCTCTTCATATCAGTAATATCAATCTTCTCTACAAGTTCCGCTTCCATCCTCCTCTCCCCCCATGTTCTCACTACCTGGTTGTCTACCTACAAATGGCACAGAAATTCATCTTATTACACTCTCTCTTTACTAGTCATTTACTTCCTACATTTCCAAGAAAAACCAGACTGACCTCATCCATGCTAATATGAACGAGGTTCCCTATTAGCCTCAAGCAGCATTTTTTGCCTGTTGGACCTCCTCCATCTTCTCAGCCGTCAGCCTCTCCGTCGCATCTCTCTTTGCCTTCAACAAGAAACATAACTCATTAACATTCTGATTTACGATGAGAGCAAACTCGAGAAAATAGAAAACAGTGAAATTTGAATCAACCACCCAAACGAAGAAGAGAGACAACTCACGATCTTCAGCTGGGCGATCTCTTTGTTTATGAGAATAAAGTCCTTTCAGCGACTGTCGAGCTCGCATTTCCCTGAAAAACAAGCGGACCAAAGTCCTAAATTCATTAATAGTGAGAAGGGAGCAGGCATCATGAACTCAAAGGTGGGATTTTTTGAGATTACGTTGGTGCCACTCCTTCCTTGTAAAGGCGTATGACCTCATCGACGAGCTCAACGGCAGCGCTGCGACGGCGCTGCAACTCCGATACACTCCTGGTCATTGCCCTTGTCCTCGCGGAAGAGCTTGATGTCGACCATTCCTTCCCCTCCACTCGGTAGTTTGTTTACAATAGAAAGAGAGAAAGAAAGCAAGCAAAAAGTGCGCGAGCGACGGTGAGGGATCGTTGACGAAATAAGATATATGAGGGAGCGAGGGGAGGATCGAAGGAGAAGAAGATGAGTGTGGCGGCTAGGAGAAGCCAGTGGGGTTAGAGAAAGCCCTAAGGAAAGGGAAAATGTGAGTTCTTTCTCTCTCTAAACTCCTACCCAATAATAAGTCACCACGTGTAAAACATAGCCACGTTGCCTAAAGTGGGTGGGCCCTTTGTCTATCCACGTGGCTAGGTCTAACTTCCGGGTCTTGTCAAGCAGAACCATTTCTCTATCTTTCCTGTATGCCCAAAATTCCCTCCTGGTGCGTTATTTCTCCATTTCTCTCCAAAAAGTTTCGGTAGAATCTTGTTCTTTGCACATTCGAGGTGGATTGTATCGAATTCTTCATCTAATGTGTCTTTGTTGGAGAGATTTTTTCTAGATCTAAGTGGAAGAGAAGTGAGAGAAGAAGAACACCGGCTGTATATTCGGCGAGGTTGTCTGGCGATTGAGCAGAAGATGCTGCTGGAAATCAGCGGCGAAGATGAGGAGAAATGGCTTGCCGAAGGAGTCGCCGGTCTCCAGCACAACGCCTTCTTCATGCACCGCGCTCTTGTGCGTGCCGCTCCCAAAACCCCAAACCCTAAACCTGATCGATTAACATCTCGATTCCTATTTTTGCTTTCTCTGCTGTTTGATGATTGTTCCCTTGATTATAATTGAAGGATTCCAACAATCTGCGTGACGCACTCAAGTACTCGGCTCAGATGCTTTCCGAGCTGCGCACCTCTAGGCTCTCCCCCCACAAGTACTATGAGCTCTGTGCGTGATCCATGTCCATTTCGTATTTCTGAAAACCTTCGGTTTTATGTTTTATCTCTTTCTTTCTCTTTCAATTTGATGAGGCTATTCTTCTGTTGGAAGATATGAGGGCATTCGATGAACTCAGGAAGCTGGAGATGTTCTTCAAGGAGGAGACAAAAAGGGGAAGCTCGGTGATTGATCTTTACGAGCTTGTCCAGCATTCTGGGAATATCCTGCCTAGGCTGTAAGATAAAGTCATGCTTAGACCTTGTCGGGTCAGGTTTTAATTTTCATGACATTTGAGCTTAAATATTGAACTCATATAACAACCCCATAAAACGTTGTGTTAATAATGTCTATGATTCAACCACTTCTGAACTTTCAGCGATGTTTTTAGGCGGTAGTTTTTTTTTCTTCCCTTTATTTTGATTTAAAGAGTAGCATAACGGGAGCTTGTTTTTGTTTTTATGATTCCATAGTTATTTCTGGTGCATGACAAGTAATTTTTGTTTCCATTTTAATTATTGCTGAGCTTCATTGTATAAAGTGTTATTTTAGGCTCTATCATGATTAAGTAATGATTCTTTTTTTTTTTTTGGCATTTATATGTAAGGATTGCTGATTTTCAGGTATCTCCTCTGCACTATAGGATCTGTTTATATAAAATCAAAAGAAGCTCCTTCAAAAGATATCCTCAAGGACATTGTGGAAATGTGTCGGGGTATACAAAATCCAGTTCGGGGTCTCTTCCTGAGAAGTTACCTCTCTCAGATCAGTAGGGATAAATTGCTTGATATTGGTTCAGAGTATGAAGGGTAAGTAATTTTAGATTTGCAATCATATTATACCTTATGGTGTTTCTTTCTTTTTGCTTTTGGTACCATATATCTTATATTACATATTTTTCCTTCTCTATGTGGGATGTTTGATACAAGACATCTTAGGGTCAAGAGTTTTCCTGATTTTGAGAAACTACTAATTTGGGCATTTTTTTCCTAATGTTTAATACCAATAGATTAAAATTCATTGCCCACTTACTCTTTGTTAGACAAAAAATTCATCTCTTTTGATGCTAATTGAAAAATATGTAAAAGCTCACTTCAAATGATAATTCTAATCCAAAATTGAAATAAGAAATTTGAGATCAAACTAAAATCACTCAACAATTAGGATTCATGCAGTAAAACTTGATTGTTGTATACTTTTGACCAAATTTCAATCATACGTGAAAAAATAAATCATAAAGTATATAAAAGAAAAAGAATGATATTAGAGTCACCAAAGAAGATCCAAGCCTTATGTTGATACAAAGAAAAAAACTTTTCCTAAAATATTTTAACACTTTCATCACACTCGAAGAATTTATATCTAATCATCAAACATACTTGTGAGGAGTCTAAAATTTTAGTTAAACATTAAATGTCTTTTACATGCATAGAGACTGCCTATTTATAAAAAAAGGCCAAAATTAATAGTTTCTCAAAATCCCGTAATTCGGCTAAAACAACAATTCTTGATTTCAAACATCACAAAAACATCAACCCTTGGCTTGTGGCTATGGTGCAAGATTGTAGGAATTGACAGCCAAATCCCAGCTACAATGAAAACCTCCTAGGAATAGAAGGAAGCAAACAATCGAAGCCCAACAATAGTTCAAAAGTCATGAATAAATTGAAATACGCAGCCAATGATTAATGAAATAGAAGCAACAATGCCTCAAAAGGAAGGTTGGAAAAAGTATGTGAATCACATAGTGCAACAATTATCCAAGAAAAATTTTATTAGTAGTAACCATTTGGCCTTACAGTATAAAAATTGCAAAAGTTAGCAAGTCATTAGTGAACTAATCAACAAATTAAAAAAAAAAAAAACAATGGTTGTACCTATAGTTGAACCAATTTTGCAAATCAACCAACGCAAACTTTGAAGAACACAACACATTTCAATAAAATCGACACTAGGCATAATGACTGCTTGGCTAATGTTACACCATGAAGTTTTAGTATGCTTAGTTTTCCAGCATCTTTAATAGTTGGATTGAGGAATCAAACCCAAAGTTAGGTTATTCACATTCATTCCTTGCATGTTGAGATCTATGCTTTGACACCAAAAAATGATAATGGATTGAGAAGAATGAGTGTGACAACCTGTTCACTTGAACTTTATATGCCTAAGAGGATGTAGTATAAAATATTAGTGGGTTTGATTCTCGGAATACCATAGATACTATCAAGATTTTATAGAATTAGTCTTTATTTACAGTTTGAGGATGAAAGGAAATATGAAATGATCTTCCTAGTGTTCATATGCGCATCTTACAACTGGGAACACTGACCTCAAAGATATTTTTATTGTATTAAAATTGTCCAAACAAAAGAAAAATATTGGAAGGAATATTTTTTGTAGTTATGTAAAGGCTTAAACCAACTAGGACAAGTTGCACTTCAGGAGGGAATAGTTTAATTCACAAGTGAGGCTAGATTTGATGGGCTTAGGTAAATGGAGTGCTCTACTCTTGAAGATGACTTGCTACTTCTTGGTTCTTGCTTGGATTTTGATAGGAAACACTGGTAGTTCAAGTATTTTTTATCTTTCTTCGAAAAACAGAAAGAGTTCTCCACCAAAATCCACACAAAAACAACAATAGATAATTTGTATTATATGATGAAAAGGAAACGAAAAATAGCAAGATACAATTGATCCTCTATTCGAGAGGAGGATCGATCTCTCTCAAATCTCTAGACGCCGTTAGAGTCCAAAAGAAAACCTAAATCCAAGATATCTCTAATTTTACCCAAATTCAAGATGAAATCCTAACCCTTACGAGAGAAACTATTTAAAGCAAAGAAGATTACAAAATCCCTAAATAGCCCCTAATTCAAATTTTCCCTCCCAAATCAATATTTAATTGAGTCTCTCTCAAAGCAATATTTAATTGAGTTATTCTCTCCCAAAGCAATATTTAATTGAGTTGTTCCCTCCCAAAGCATTATTTAATTGAGTCCCTCCCAAAATAATATTTAATTGAGTTGTTCCCTCCCAAAGCAATATTTAATTGAATCCCCTAATTCAAATTGGGCCGGGCTAACAATACTCCCCTCCCAAAGATCCACATTGTCCTCAAGGTGGAAGGATGAGATGCTATTGATAGCTTTCTTCAGCTGCTCTGTTAGTGGCCATGCTATCGTCCACTGGAACCAAGCTAAAGTTTTTCCTTTCAAACATAGGGCCGTTGTAGCTAGTCTCTCCTCCTCCATCTCCCCATTCACCATGAGATACATCCCCACCCGGTACACCCATCCATAAGCATCCTCCCTTTCCAATATTGGGATCCCCAACTTCCTCACCCTGGGATCACTACCATCCAAATTTCTTCTTCCTCCTCTAGTGTAGCGGTTGTCATGATCTCTCCATATTTCCCCCATGTATCGAGGGTGGGAATCCCCCCTTCCTTCCCTTCGCCTCACATGACCTGATCCCCATGGTTCGGCTCATCCCCCTCCTTCAGTCGTCCACTCCCCTTGCCCAAAAGACTTCATAGTGGTCGACCACCCCACCACCTTCACCACGAAAAGCCCTTCTTGTTGTCCTCCCATCCGCTAACCCTATTCAGCTCCTTATCAAAGCCCTAAGAGGTGGCTCTTGACCCCCTCCTTCTTCGATGAGTGGCTCCCCTTGCCCAAATTGCCTCTTATAGTGGTCAGCCGCCCTACTGTCTCCACCAAAAGATTTCATCTTTGTTGTCTTCTTATCTAGAAACCCTGATCCACCCCTTATCGGTGCCACAAGAGGTGGTTCTTGATGAAAGAAACTCCCCTCGTCAGACTTCTCTTGTCTGATCTCCTTTCCCTTCGATTCGGCTGAGTGAATCCCGATCAAATCTTGATTAGGGTTAGCCATCGGAAATGCCAGTGAAGTGTTTGTTTGCATCTCCAAGAGCCTTCTTAACATCTCCTACCCCCTTCTTAATCGATTTTCCATACGGTTTTCCATATATGAAAAATTTTCTCCCCATGTAGAGAACTTCTCCAAGCCGGTTTTAACTTGCTCCATTTCTCCTTCCAACGCCTCCATCTTCTTTGTTGTCATTAATTGGATCTAGGCTCCATTTGCAAAACAGCCAAGAAATCTTATTTTTCCGCCCAAGATAGCGCTCTGATACCAATTTGATAGGAAACACTTGTAGATTTCAAGTATTTCCTATCAATCTTCGGAAAACAGCGAGAATTCTCTACCAAAATCCACACAAAATTAGGAAAACAGTACATAATTTGTATTATATGATGAAAAGGAAACGAAAAATAGCAAGATACAATTGATCTTCTATTTGAGAGGAGGATCGATCTCTCCCAAATCTCTAGACACCGCTGGAGCCCAAAAGAAAACCTAAATCTAAGAGATCTCAAATTTCAGCCAAATTCAAGATGAAATCCTAACCCTTACAAGAGAAATTATTTAAAGTAAATAATATTACAAAATCCCTAAATAGCCCTTAATTCAAATTTTCCCTCCCAAAGCAATATTTATTTGAGTTGTTCCCTCCCAAATCAATATTTAATTGAGTCCCTCCCAAAGCAATATTTAATTGAGTTGTTCCCTCCCAAAGCAATATTTAATTGAGTTGTTCCCTCCCAAAGCATTATTTAATTGAGTCGTTCCCTATCAAAGCATTATTTAATTGAGTCCCTCCCAAAGCAATATTTAATTGAGTTGTTCCCTCCCAAAGCAATATTTAATTGAGATGTTCCCTCCCAAAGCATTATTTAATTGAGTTCCTCCCAAAATAATATTTAATTGTGTTGTTCCCTCCAAAGCAATATTTAATTGAATCCCCTAATTCAAATTGGGCCGGGCTAACAATACTCTCCTCTTAAAGATCCACCTTGTCCTCAAGGTGGAAGGATGGGATGCTGTTGATAGCTTTCTTTAGCTGCTCTGTTAGTGGTCATGCTATCATCCACTGGAACCAAGCTAAAGTTTTTCCTTTCAAACATAGGGTCGTTGTCGCCAGTTTCTCCTCCTCCATCACCCCATTCACCATGACATACATCTCCACCCGGTACACCCACCCATAAGCATCCTCCCTTTCCAATACTGGCATCCCCAACTTCCTCACCCTCAGATCACTACCACCACAATATCTTCTTCCTCCTCTAGTGTAGCGGTTGTTGTGATCTCTCCATATTTCCCCCATTTATCGAGGGTGGGAATCCCCCCTTCCTTTCCTTCACCTCACATGACCTGATCTCCATGGTTCGGCTCGTCCCCCTCCATCAGTTGTCCACTCCCCTTGCCCAAAAGACCTCCCATAGTGGTCGACCACCCCACCACCTTCACCACGAAAAGCCCTTCCTGTTGTCCTCCCATCCGCTAACCCTATTCAGCTCCTTATCGAAGCCCTAGGAGGTGGCTCTTGACCCCCTCCTTCTCTGATGAATGGCTCACCTTGCCCAAATTGCCTATCATAGTGGTTAGCCGCCCTACTGACTCCACCAAAAGATTTCATCTTTGTTGTCTTCTTATCCAAAAACTCTGATCCACCCCTAATCGGAGCCACAAGAGGTGGCTCTTGATGAAAGAAACTCTCCTCGTTAGACTTCTCTTGTCCGATGTCCTTTCCCTTCGATTCTGCCAAGGAATCCCGATCAAATCTTGATTAGGGTTAGCCATCGGAAACGCCATTGAAGTGTTTGTTTGCATCTCCAAGAGCCTTCTTAACATCTCTTCTACCCTTCTAAATCGATTTTCCATACGGTTTTCCATATATGAAAAATTTTCTCCCCATATAGAGAACTTCTCCAAGCCGGTTTTAAAT